GGGGTCAAGCTATCATGAACACTTTCAGAAAATAATTTATAAGCTAAAGGCATGCTGAACTTTAACAGGCTGAGAGGATTGCAATAAAGGAGGAAGGAAACAATACTTCAACCATTTTGTGTAAAAATTCTGCTTAGACTACACCTGGAATCCTGTGAGCACTGCTCGGCACCACACCTTTGGAAGAATTGGTCTTGAACTGTGTGCAGTTCAGATTTACCAGAATGATACTTAGATTCAAAGAATAAATTGTGGGGAGATTTTACGTAAACTAGGGTTGTAAGGAGAACCAATAAGATCAATAGAGTTCCCTTCTATTGTTGGGGAGTCTAGGACAAAGTGACGTAATCAAACTAATGGAGAGGGCACTTGGAGTGCATTCCACTGTCATACTGTTTTAACTCCATGTTATTACAATTATGCAGACTTCCCTTGAGGGCTTTCCCTGCCCAGTTGATGCTCTGTAACTACAAAGCTGAGAAAAATTTCTTTTTATTGTTCTGACTGATGTTAGAGTACTGTAAACTGTTGCTCTGATGAAACAAGCAGGTAAGCGGGCGGATATTCATTAGATTCTTCGGGTGATAATCCTTTTTTTTAAAACCAGATGAAACATTATATTCATTTTCCTGACCCATGCCTCAAAAATGCTGCAGGTCATGCAGGCAGATTTGATAGCCCTAGACTGCGTGGGTAGAGTATGCACAATTGTAAAGCGACCTGGCTTTTCAGGCTTTCATATCACAAAGAACGGCAGCTTTTCAATGCCATCCATGTTGGCAGAGATCCTAGAAGTGACACATTCTTCATTTTGTTTTCTACCGTTATATGTTTCATTGTTAAATATTAAAGAGTGACCTGTTAAATAGTCCGGTTTCTTGGTGCATACTCATTTAGGATGTGGGTGAGACCATGTTGTAGTCAGTGCCGCAGGCTTGCTTCTGATTTTTTTCCTCTAACTTGGACAAATTATGTTTGGTAGGCGGGATCACATGACAAATGTGCATGAGTCTGGCTAATCTGGAGTTACCAGTCTGAGTCTTCAGTTTGGCACTGGAGTCTTTCTATCGGATTTCCTATTCTGCTGGAGGGAATAGGTGACAACTTTGCCAGAACTGCAGTTTCAGGTGATCTAATTAGACTTCTCACAACTTCCCTGTATTTAAACGGAGAGACGTTGTGCCACTCAATGGTGCAGAGGGACCTGGAGGCCCATGTGTGAGAACCGCAAAATGTTACATGGAAGATCACAGATATCACAAAGATGTCTCATGGTATCAGGTCTTCAATATCCATCACATGGCGTGGTTCGGTATTACTAGTATTGACTGTCTGCACCTGTGGCAGGTTGTGAGGGAACTGACAAGAATGAAAACCTATTTAATCTCACCCTTATTTAGGTGCCTGTTGCAGACGCATCTGCCTATGACATCACTGTTAGAAGTGACTGCTGCACAGTGAAGATTAAGTTCTGTCTTCATTTTAAGGATACCACCCACCTTGCTCTGTGGCATTGTCAATGGGTTCTTTCACTGCATCAGTGGCTGAGTGTTCAGCAAAAAGACTGATTTAAAATCTTGTGTAACATTAGATCAAGTCATTATTAACATAACTGATTGCAAATTTTTCTTTTATTAATTCATGGGATGTTAATATCACAGGCTGGCAGCAATTATTGCTCATCCATAGTTGACCTTGAGAAGATGGTGGTGAGCTGACTTCTTGAACTGCTGCAGTCCAGGTCCTGTAGGTAGACCCATAATGCATTCGGGAGCAAGTTCCAAGATTTTGAACCAGCGACAGTGAAGGAACGGTGATGTATTTCCAAGTCAGGATGGTGAAACTTGGAGAGAAACTTGCAGGTGGTTGTGTTCTCATGTATCTGTTACCCTTGTCCTTCAAGATGGAAGTGGTTGTGCATTTGGAAGGTGCTGTCTAAGGAGCCTTGGTGAATTTCTGCAGTGCATCCTGAAGATAGTACACCCTGCTGCTACAGAGTGCCAATGGTAAAGAAAGTGAACGTTTGTGGAGTGATACAAATCAAGCGGGCAACTTTGTCCTGAATGGTGTCAAGCTCCTTGAGTGTTGTTGGAGCTGCACCCATCCAGGCAAACAAGGAGTATTCCCATCACACTCCTGACCTGTGCCTTGCAGATGGTGAACAGAATTTGTGGAATCAGGAGGTGAGCTACTCATTGCAGGATTCCGAGCCTCTGACCAGCTCTTGTAACCACTATATTTATATGGCAAGTTCTGTTCAGTTTCTAGTCAATGGTGACCCCCGGGATGTTGATCATGGAAGATTCAGTGATGGTAATACCATTGAATGCCAAGGGATGATAGCTATATTCTCCCTTGTTGGAGATGATCAGTGCATGGCAATGAAAAAGCCGGTTGCATGAATTGAAGCATTTGTGTAGCACAGATGTTACTTTCTACTTTTCAGCTCAAATCTGAAAGTTGTCCAGATCTTGCTGAATTTGGACACAAACTGTTTCAGTGTCTAAGGGGTTGTGAATGGTGCTGAACATTGTGCAATCAGTGAACATCCCAATCTGACTTTATGATGTAGAAAAGGTCATTAATGAATCAACTGATGATGGTTGGGGTGGAGTTCCTGCAGAAATATCCTGGAACTGAGACGATTGATTTCCAACAGCCACAACCATCTTCCTATATGCCAGTTATGACTCCAACCAGTAGGGAGTTTTCTCCCTGATTCCCATTGACTCCAATTTTTCTAGGGCTTCTTGATGGCACACACAGCCAAATGTGGCCAAATGGCTGTCAATCTGTCCTCACTGCTGGACTTTAGCTGTTTTGAACCTGGAATGTATTGAGGTCTGGAGCTGTGTAGTACTGGCAAAAGCTAAACTGGGTGTCACTGAGCAGATTATTGCTTCACAAATGCAGTGTTGCTGACACCTTCCATCACTTTTTACTGTTGATTAAGAGTAGACTGATGAGGTGATAATTGGCTGGGTTGGATTTGTCCTGTTCTAGTGCACAGGACATAGATGCACAATTTTCTACATTTTCGGGTAAATGCTGGCATTGGAGCTGTAGCTTGGCTAGGGCTGCGGCAAGTTCTGGAGCTCAAATCTTCAGTACTATTCCCGAATTTTTGCAGTATCCAGTGCCTTGAGTTGTTTCTTGATATCACATGGAATGAATGGAATTGGCATCTGTGATGCTGGGGGCCACTGGAGGAGGCCAAGATGGATCACGCACTTGGCAGTTCTGCCTGAAGATTGCTGCAAATGCTTCAGCCTCATCTTTTGCACTGATGTGCTGGGCTCTTCTATCATTGAAGATGGGGATTTTATTGCAGCCCACTTCTCGAGTGAGTTGTTTAGATTTCCAGCATTCACAACTGGATGTGGCAGGATTGCAGAGTTTTGATCTGATATGTTAATTATGGGATTGCTTACTCTGTCTATTGCATGCTGCTTATGCTGTTTGGTGTGCAGGTAGTCCTGTTTGGTAGTTGTATCAGGTTGACACCTCACTGTTAGGCTTGCCTGGTACTGCTCCTGCCTTGCCCTCCTGCACTCTTCATTGAACGAGAATTGATCTCCTGACTTGATGGTAATGGTTGAGTGAGGAATATGCCAGGCCATGAGGTTGCAGATTGTGTTGGGGTAAGATTCTGCTACTGTTGATAGTGCATGGCACCTCATGGATGACCAGTCTTGAGTTGCTAGATGTGTTTGAAGTCTGCTGCATTCAGCATGCTGATAGTCTCACACAACGTGATGTAATGTATTCTCATTGTGAAAGTGGGAGGTTGTCTCCGCAAGGACTGTGCGGTGGTCACTCTTAGTGATACTGTCACGAACAGATGCATCTGTGGTGGCGAGATTGGTAAGGATGAAGTCAAGTATGCTTTTCTCTCTTCTTGGTTCTCTCAACACCTATCGCAAATCCAGTCTTGCAGCTATGTCCTTTAGGACTCAACCATCTCGATCAGTAGTGCTGCTGCCAAGCCACTCTTGGTGGTGGACATTGAAAACCCCCAACCAGAGTACATTCTGCACCCTTGCCACCCTCAGTGCATCTTCCAACTGCTGTTTTAACATAGAGGAATACTGATTCATCAGCTGAGGTGAGGGAGTGGTATGCAGCAACCAGCAGAAAGTTTCCTTGCATATGTTTGATCCAGTATTCCCTCTAAGTTCCATGTGCAGCCATTCCAAGCTTCTGCACGTGTGATCTGCTTCAGTACACACCATTCTTGGCATGAGGTCTGGTTCCAGATGTCACTGCTATGCATGAACCCCAGTGGCCCACGCAACCTGTGCGAAAATTAGAGGGAACAGTGGATTATCTGGAGCGATGAGACTTCATGGGGTCCGGAGTCAATGTTGAGGACTCCCGTGTTAATCCCTCCTGACTGTATACCACTGTGCAGCTAATGGGCCTGGATTCTGCTTCGTCTGTCCTGCCAGTGGGACGGGACATATTCAAGGATGGTGATGGTGGTGTCAGGCAAATTGTCTTTAAGGTATGATTCTGTAACAATAGCTATGTCAGAATGATGCTTGGCTAGTTTGTGAGACAACTCTCCCAATTTTGAATTGAGTTTAACTTTTGAACTCCCTTCAGGCTATATTTCAGAACAGAATTCCATGTGATTGTGAAATATTAAAGCAAATTGCTTTTGAAGTAGCTAATTTTAAAAATTTCTCCATGGGCTATTTTATAACTTTCTGACTCTCCATTGAATACTTTATAGCTTGCGAAAAATTCTAGTTGAGTAGTTTATAACAGTCACTAGACTTGTATTATTTGGTAGAACGGAACTTGAGTGTTGCTGGGAAAAGACATTGCATGGAATTTTTTGACTTGCCTTCATGTCAATTTAAGGGGAAGCATCAACATTTATATGGATGACAGGAGACTGCCGATTAGTTGACAAGTGAGTTGTTTGTCAAATATTAAACAAGTCAAAAATAATTTTTGTGCAGATTTAGACAATAATTATTTTTTTTTCTGTTTAGTGTGTTGGAGAAGAGAACTGGGTGGATAGTCGGACAGTTTACATTGGACATCGTGAACCCCCTCCAGGCACAGACGCTTACATTGTACAAAAATATCCCGATAACAGGATTGTGTCTTCAAAGGTAAAGTTTTCATTTTTTTCCATTCACTCAGCTATTTAATGTAGGGGGCACCCATTTATTGTGTATTCTAATAATGCATTTTTGTTTTATTGAGGTTGGTATATGAGGAATGTTTCCTAATAATGCTGCCATTGTTTTTGTTTTGCTGTGATTACTGAACATGTTCAATTTCTTTGAAAGAAACTGCTGCTTCACTGCTCCATTGCCTGGGGGTCTCGCTTAGTCACATCATGTGGCAACCCTCCTGACTTACATCTTCCCACTTGACACTCGCGCTCATCAACTCTGCTGAGTTTGCTTGCCTACCCTGCTAACTCAACGTGTCACTTGTTGACTCTCCTGATCCCCTCTTCTTACCTGACCCTCCCGTTCTTTGACCCTTGATCTTCACGTTCACTAACCCACCCAAACATAAGATATAAGAGAGGAATCAGGTCTCTCAAGTCTGCTCAGCCATTTAGTCATGGCTAATATATTTCTCAACCCCATCCTCCTGCTTCCTTCTCATAACCTTGGATCCCCTGACCCATCAAGAACCTGTTCATCTCTGACTTAAATACTGACTCAGCACTTCCTGCCTGACCTTACCACTCCTGATTCTTTTATTCACCATATCCCTCCCCAACCCTTCTGCTTGTTTCCCACTCTTGATTCTCTAGATCGTTGCCTCCCTCTATGACCGATATGTTGACTGACCCTTCTAACTCACCACTTCCCTCCTCGAACCTGCTGTCTCTCCTGTTTGCTGCTTCCCTTCTCAACCTTTTATGTTCACTTTCTCCTTCCTGCATGTATGGGAGGAATGTTGTCAGAGCCTGTGCATGATTCTTGGCACCCAGTTACCCACCGTTATGTTGACATTGTTCACATGGAGTTTGCCAGGGTGACTGACTCTTCCTCTGGTTAAACTTACGGCAAGTCAAAGCCCATGGTCACTTTTATTTTTCTTGTGATCTTGTTTTTGCATTTTTCTTTTGAAACCCTCTCTGATTTGAGCTGAAGCAATGGCAAAGATTGATTTATAAGTTATATACTTTGTGTAAAAGACGTGGAATCTAAATAATTTGCAGCATGTGATCCTCTAGTTCCAATTTTCAGAAATGTGAGGAAACATGAAGCTGTAAAGTATTTTGATGGTGAAACTGTTGTAATTTCAGGAATTCTGTGAATACTCAATGAATAGCCCCAAGTTTCAGAGAATGAGTCATTTTTAATTTAATCCCTGTCACCAGTTATCAATCAGCATTTTGATGCTAATCTTTGCTCACATTTCTGCGCTAGTCTGTGGCCTTTATTTTTCAGTTGAATTATAATTTTCTCTCTTTTAAATCTGTTTCCTTGATTTTAGTTTTAAATCCACAAACCAAGTATAATTTTCAAGACACTATATTAAATGCTATACTTTTTTGGATTTTCTGTATGTTTGATTATGGACTGAAATAGGAAGAAGTCTGGTTTAAAAGCTGAGGATTGTTCAACGGTTGCTGCACTTTTTGAAAACAAGTTGCCATCATTGTAAGTGCTGTTTACACAGCTGCAAGTTCAAGCAGTGGGACAAGCTAGCTACAGACAAGCTGGAGCCATAGGGCTGTGTATGAATAGAGATATGGCTGGCAACAGTAGCTGATTGGTCTATGACATGGTGGTCAGTTATTGATGATAAAGGCTTCCTCCTATCAATAATTGTATGGTTGACTCCCAGTTAGCTGAACAAATTGTGGGTGTGAATATTTGAGGGAGAAGCCACCAGACATTTGGAAGCTCTGCAGTAGAAAGCATCTCAAGCCTGCAAATGGCCGGTTTATTTCCCTTCCTCAATTGTTATAATGTGACTTATATTAATAAGTCTGAGATCTTTATAAATGTGAGCCAGTCGGCCTCTGCCTCCTGCAAACAAGTGAAAGTACCTGGACAGTGAAGATTGAGAAGCAGAATACTGATCAACCAAAGGATTATCTCAGCAAATCCAGTGAACAGGGACCACCCAACCACCTTCCCAGTCTTCTCACAACATTTTGGTTTGTTTGTGTAGAAGGTGTATTTATGAGGGGTGAGAATTTTAGCAACTAATCTGTCACTGGTTTATAATTGTTTATCTGTAATTCGAATCTATTTATTTGTATTTAACTGTTGTTCTTGATAAGTACAGAAATCGCTGGGAAAGCTCAGCAGGTCTGGCAGCATCTGTGAAGAAAAAATTAGAGTTAACATTTTGGGTCCGGTGACCCTTCCTCAGAGTACAGAAACCTTGTTTGCTCTTTCTGTCGACCTGATCTGAAAGTCAGATCAATCAAGAAAGTCTGTGTACTTTTTAATATCTTTATCATTTGTGTCAAATCCGGGAATGGCGAGGTTTGAGTTCTAGCGTGTGACCCCAATGAGGCTTAACACTTTCCCAATTTGATTCATTTGGAGTTGTACCAATGAACTACTCCCATTTTCCCCATTAGCCAGTGGCCCATGATTGAGACCTGTCTCTGCCATGCCACTTTTTTGAGCCATATATTCAATTCTAATTGGTTTATGCCCGTGCCAGTTTCCAAATGGCTCAGGAAGTGACCCAGAGATTATTAGTTTTAGAGGTTCTAGTTATTAATTTAGATCCTTATTCCTCAATATCTGTCAGCAAAAATAGATTTCCCAGTTGTATTTATGCAATTAGTTCCTAAATGGACCACTGTAACTGAATCCTTCTCCGACATTCCTAGTGTATTTCTAGCTGAGAGCGATACCTTTAACCCTTATCACCGAGCAGGCAAGATAACCTACAGAACTCCTGGACATGGCTGCAGCAAACAGTATCTGTCTCCCTTACTATGCTGTCCCCCACCGCTATCATATTCTTTCTCACTCTCTGTATTTGAATGGTTTCTAGATCCTTAGTGCCATATTCAGTTCACTAATACATCCCTCTGCCTGTGCCATCACATATAGATAGAACGGACCTTGTACTGCTAACTGGAAAAGGGAAAAGCTAACCCTTCTCCATGCATTTTATGCCCCTTAACTGCCTGTCTCACATTCAAACCCTTCTCTCCATGAGCATTAGCCAGGTCTGCATAAATGGAATGTAACAAATGTGACTGCCTCCTGGATTAATGTCCAGGCAACTCCTTCCTCCTTCACTGCTGTCCCATAATGTTTACAACTGAAGCACCTCTTAAACTTGAAGGTATGGTTATTTGGAATCATTGCATTCCCCACAAGCTACGACACTGCACAGGTGCAGGCTACCACTTGCCCTGCCATTTCTCTTAACCTGTTTTATTTATTTCATTGATTAGACCATGCATTTAATCAACTTGATGTGTAGATTTCATCTCCTAATTAATTACTTAATCTAGTTTTGTTTAAAGCAGATTAAATGCATGCTTCTGATACAAACCATAAGTATTGAAGGCAAAAAGCAGCCACTCCTTTCCCTTCGCTATTTATCCTCTACCGTGTATCAGCAGAGACTGTTTACTTTTGTGTGGCTTTGCAAACTGCACCTAAGTTACGAGTGCTGATGAAGCTTCCTATTCACAGTAATTAACGCCTAATCACACAGTAACAGTAAATTGCCACCTACAAGCAGTTTCCATTGACTAACTCAGAGATAGTAAGAACTGCAGATGCTGGAGTCAGAGATAACACAGTGTGGAGCTGGGGGAAGACAGCAGGCCAGGCAGCATCAGAGGGGCAGGAAAGTTGTTCCTCTGATGCTGCCTGGCCTGCTGTGTTCCACCAGCTCCACACTGTGTTATCCATTGACTAACTTACAGCTTCCGTTAGCAGCAACTGCGGAGATAGGAACTGTTAACATTCATAGACCTGAATTTTTAAATTTTGTTGTTCTTCCACAGTTGTTGCCAGGTCTTTGCTGAGCATTTCCAGCATTTTCTGTTTTTATTTCTGGTTTCCAGAACATTTTGCTTCTTTATTGCTGAAGTTTGTTTTATATTTTTGAATATTCTATGTTACTGAGAAACAAAGTTTCGGTTTGATCACTCATTAGCTACTACTTACCGAAGAGTTACACTTGTGACAAATTTCCAACATTAATATTCTGTTTGACGTGCACACTGACCACTGTGCCAATCACTTTTGAATGAACCATTTCATGAGCTAGATCCTTGTATTCTAGTGAGCAAGTTCCGTGGCCAGGTTACTGAATCTTTATAATCAGTACCCACTTTATCAAGTCAGTCTCTTCACAATCTGACCCAGAATTGCTGGAAATATTTTGTGTGTGGTAGGAATGATGCTTGGTGTTTTTCTTATATATAATACTTGCACAAATGATATATCTACTCCGTAGGTGCTTCAGCATAATTTATGTCCCTGTTATTGGTTATTATCAGCTAAATTGGATATTTGGCTGTGATCCTATATCCAGTTTAAGTTGCGTGATGTTTCTGTTTGTCTCGAAAAATGATGCGATCAATTTCTCTTTTTTAGAATATGTCACCTTATGTACTTGATTCATCTGGCCCTAATATTTAATGGTTATATCTTGGATAGGCCTGTGTTTTAGATCCTGACATTAGGGATGACCAATCAATGGGACTTAGCCAGGATCATGTGGGCAGTTTCTGAGCCAAATGCACCATTTGCTCCTTAAGCATTGATGGATAAATTTTCAAATTTCTGTAATGACTTTGTTCTTAAAATATGCTTCACTGTTTCAATTTTCTGCACAATTTAACTATTTGATCTGCAAGAACTGTTAGAATTTGCTCACACAGCAACCTCTGGCTGAGAGATTTATTTGACAATTAATGGACTATTCTGTTTTACATTAGTGATTCCAATGCTTGTCGCATTTCTTACAATGAATTCTTAATTTACAAGCTTGGGGTCACTGATTTCTCACATTTCTGTGCCTTTTGTAGATCATTGATAAACACCTGGAGCGTTGAACACATAATAGGAATATGTTCCAGGAGGTAGCCACCTTAAAAATGTAAGAGTTTATGAGAGCAGCAGAATGACCAGCCAGAGGAAGCAGGAAATACAGAGAGAAGTGAGTGAGCCAGAGGTTATTCCTCCTCTTGGTTCAAAGCTCCAGGTGTTTATCAAAGACCTAGCAAGCTACAGGACAACTTGTCACTGCCTTCTCAAGAGATGGGCAATAAATGCTGGCCTTTCCAGCCTTAGTCAAATTCCAAAAATATATGTATGAATAAGTGAAGTTCTGAACGTGAGTGAGAGTGATGATAGAGCCAACTTTCCGGCACCATGGGTGGCTCCGCTACAGGGATGGAGAAAAGTGGAAAAGCAGGAATGGTTGGGAATGGTGGTGAGGAGAACAGATGGGTATTTCTGTGGCTGGAGATATGACTGCCTGCCTCTTTCTCTTTCACTGCCAGAGTGAAGGATGTCGCTGAGTAGTCCCAGGACATTCTAAGGGGGTGTGTGAACAGGCAGTTCATAATGACATCAGTGACATGGACAAAAAGAGGAATGAGTTTCTGCAGGCAGAGTTTAGAGAACTAGGAGAGAAATTGAAAAGATAGGATCTCAAATTTAGTAATCTCCAGATGTGCTGATGAGTGCTGAAATAAAATTAAACAGTTGAATAAGTAGCTGGAGAAATGGTGCAGATGGGAGGGGAGGTCTTTTGCTTATTGAAGTCTCTGGACCACTTTTGATGATTGTAAGAACCATACAAACTAACAGGGTCAGGATTAATATAATAGCACTGGGTTTTGTTTGTGCTATTGGGAAAGTTTAGAAGAGCTTGGCTGGGGATAGAAACCTGAGAATATAAAATAGGAAGTGAGGTCATAGTGTTAGTAAAAAGAATTATGGCTGTGAAGATATCTTAGAAGAATCAGCAAATTGGTTGAACTGAACAACAAAATAAGGGGAGATCACTCAGATGGGTGCATTCTACAACTGTCCAAATAATCTGAGGGAGATAGAAATGCAAACATAGGCAAATTACTAAAAAGTTCAAAAACAAAACAACTACATGAATGTTGACTGGCATAATCATTGTGAAAGGCACAAAGGCAGCAGAAATCAAAAAAAATATTCAGGTGCACAGTTTCTTAATCCAGTATGTTGGATGCCCAACAAGAAAAGGTGTATTCTGAGGTTAGTTGCAGGGAATGAAGTTGCGCAAATGAAAGAGGTTATCATTCACTTGGAGGACATTGGTAGAAGTGATCATTATTCATTAAGATTTAGGATAGTTACGGTAAAAGACAATGGTAAACCAGGATTAAGAGTTCTTAGCAGGAGACGACTGATTTTACTGAATTGAGATGTGATTTATCTAAAGTGGACTGGAAACAGCTGGTTGAAGGGAATCAGTGGTAGATCAGTGGGAAGCGTTCATCAAACAGATAGTGAAGTTTCTGAGCTATGGTGACATTTTGATGAGGCAAACTTGGAAGATATAAAAACTGAAAGAACTGTGGATGCTGTAAATCAGAAAGAAAAACAGAAATTGCAGGAAAAGCTCAGCATGTCTGACAGCATCTGTGGAGAGAAATCAGAGTTAATCTTTCAGGTCCAATGACCATTCCTCAGAACTTGTGTGTGTATGTATAGCGACTCCTTTACAATGATGGTTCTGATACACTGCAATTCTGCACCACTGACTCTTTATTAGATATAACTGTTTAATCTTGTCATTTGACTGCAGCGACAAATGAGGACAGAGTTAAGTCGCACAGGAGCACAAAGAATCAGGGGTTTGACATCAAGATCCTCCTGCAAAAGATGTGCAAAGGCTACAAATATGGCTAAACCTGTGATAAAATTTTTAAAGCGTTGTCGATTGGAAAGAAGCTGAAGTTGATTAATTAAATGGAGAATTGAGGTGTGAAGCAGGAAGGAGACATTGTGTAGGAGCTGAAGATGCCGCCATTGTGGAGGTAGACAACACTGTATGCAGTGCAACAGAACTGACAGAGGATGTAGTTGTAGATGCAGTATGTTCTTCAACTAAGTAGGCCAGTGACCCTGAAGACTTCCCAACTGCTCATCTGCTTGTTTCCCTAGCAAAGGTTGTAGAAATGCTCTGGGATTCTGCACTGTTGCAGAAAGACACATTTGACTGCATTGATGACATAGCTGACTGTATCACACTATCTGAAGACAAAGTGCTAAACAGGAAACGATTGCTGAATTTTGCTGGAGCTAACGCCTGACATTTTTCAATGCATTTTATAAGGTGATATCATTGTAAGGTTTGAATAAATTGAATACAGAATTTTTTTAACATATTTACTGCTTCACAGCGTTTTGATTTGGCATTCTCTTTGACATAACCCAATTTGCTGACAAATATGTTCTATGTAGGGGCCTCGTTGGTTATCACAAAGCTCCACGTAACACAGATTTGTGAACGAGTCATCTGGTATTCAACTCATCGGGATTTTATTGTAATATGTTTATTTGAGGAAAAGAAAATTCACATCCCCTTAGGATTTCAAAGGGCTTAAAGGAAAAGAGGAGAGAAAAGGAGAAGCTTACGACAGATTCAGAGGGTTCAGTGCTGCAGGAAATCGTAGAGATAAAATTGTAAAGCATTTTTGGAAAGCAAATAGAATCAAGAGAAACCCAAAGATATTTTCTAAATACGTAAAAAGCAAGGACATAAATAAAGAAGAAGTAGGCCCATTTGTTCCACCCCTATGTGGAGGTGGAGGACATGGGTAGGTTCTTTATGAGTACCTTGTATCTCTTTTCATGAAAGAGATTCAGACACTGCAAACAGTTGGAGTTTGAAATATCAGATTGAATTCAGTTAGGGATAGAGGCAGTATTAAGTAGTTTATCATCTGTGAAAGTGGATAAACCCTTGGTTCTGGATGATACATTATCGGATAAGGGAAGCAAGAGAATAAGTAACAGAATAAAGTCTCTGATATATCCCACCAGGAGTACATTCTGTACTCTGCCCGGAGTACATCCTTGTCACTCTCAATGCTTCCTCCAAGTGGAACTTAACATGGAGGACTACTGCATCAGCTTCAGGGAGGACTGTATGATAATCACCAGGAGGTTTCCCTGCTCACGTTTGATGTGTTGCATGAGACTTCACAAAGTCCAAAGTCAATGTTGAAGATTGTTGAGCAGTGTGGTTGAGTCCTAATTGCACTCTGGGCAGTTAGGAATGGACAATAAATGCTGGCCTAGCCAGTGAAACCCTCATTCTGTGAATGAATAAAAAAAAAACTTCCAGGGCAGCTCCCACTTGACTCTATATCATTGTGCCACCACCTCTGCTGGGCCTGCCCTGCTGATGGAGTAGGACACACCTAGGGATGGTGATAGTGACATTTGGGGCATTATACTGAAAGGTATGATTCCATGAATATGACTATGCCAGTCTGTTGCTTGACTAGTCTGTCAGACAGTTCTCCCAATTTTGGCATGAAACCCCAGCTGTTGCTAAGGAAGACTTTACAGGATTGAGAGGGCTAAGTTTGGCATTGTTGTTTCTAGTACCTCAGTCAATGCCAGGAAGTCCACCCAATTTGTATTTTTTTTGTGAATATGCAGTTCCACTAGAGAAGTTGCAAAAGAGATTTCAGATAATGTTACCTAAACTAGAGAATTATACTTATGAAAAAACAAGAGAGAGACTGGGGTTGACCTCTTTGGAACAGAGAAACATGAGCGGAAACCCGTTATGGGTTTTGATAGAGTGGGTGTGAAGGCCTTATTCTGTTTGGTTGAGGGGTCAATAAGTAGGATTTTAGGAGACTTATGTAAGATTTGGTGGGGATTTGGGACTCACTACCTCATAACATTTAGAATTTGCATATGAAAATTTTGTAACGTACAAGGCTGCAGACTAAGATCTGAAAAGTTGGATTAAATTGATTACTTGTTAGGTAGCAGGGAAAAATTGGGCCACAAATAGTTTCCTTCCAAAAAGGTACTGCTATGATTTCATGTTTCTTTGATGTGCATAGCACATAAAACAATACTTTTCACTGTATTTCACTGTGACAATAGTAAAATAAAAATCAAATCAAAGCCAGAAATGCAAGCAGGTAAGACTCAAGTCATCTAATTTAGTGGGAGGTCTTGTGGCTCAATTGAAAGCATTCCTGCTTCTGAGCCAAAAGTCTGTTGGTTTCTTTTTGTTGTGAACATGCCCATCCCTCATTGCTCTGAGATGGTGGTTGGTGAGTCACTGGAAAACACTGTAGCATTTTGATTTGATTGAATGACTTGCACAGAATGACAAGAAAGTTTTGTTCTGATAAATGAAAACGTTTTAATACATCCAATGCAGGATAACTGACTCTAAGTTAATACTTCTGTTTTTCTTTTCTTGTACAGTATACTTTCTGGAACTTCATTCCTAAGAACTTGTTTGAACAGTTCAGAAGAATTGCTAACTTCTATTTTCTGATCATATTCCTTGTGCAGGTATGATAAATTCTATAATACATTCCAAATGTGCCTTTCCTTTGACAGATTTTATGTTGTTATTCAAGTGAAACATCTTTTTATCAGATACTGTAACTTTTGAGCTATAGCAGGCAGTGAGGGAACCAACATTAGAGAAAAAATATTCTTGACTTCATCCTCACCAATCTACCTACTGTAGCAGATGGGTGGCAGTATTTGTAGGAGTGACCACTGCAGTCATGTAGAGACAAAAGCCAGTCTTCATACTGAGACATCAGCCATTGTGTTGTGTGGCACTATCACTGTGCTAAATGGAATGGATTCTGAACATGACTAATTTGTGTCATCAGCAGGAGCAAAAGTGTATTCCACCACAAAACGTAGCTTCATTTCCTACCATATCATTCTGTCTACCATCACACCAGGATGCATTTCCTGGTTGAATGACGATTGTTGGAGTGCATGCGACCACGTATGTAAAACTGACTCAGTGTTTATTGCACAGAACTATCTGCATGCTAACCAGCAAGAACAATATGTCAAAGAGCCCAACCATCTCATAACCAAGGCATCAGGTCAAATCTCTGCAGGAATGGCATGTTCTGTCATGAACGGTGTCAGATAAATAAACAACTAATAAGAGAGGGCTCCATAAACATCCCAACTTTATTGATGGCAGGGTCCAGCATATTAGAACATAGAACAATACAGCACAGGAATGGGCCCTTGGCCACAATGTTGTGCCAAACATGACACCAAATGAAACTAATCCCTTCTGCCTGCCCTTGGTCCATATTTCTCCATTCCTTCCATATTCATGTGCTTATCTAAAAGTCCCTCAAATACCCTTATCGTATCTACCTCCACCACCACCCCGGGCCATGCGTTCCAGACTCCTACCATTCTCTGTGTAAGAAAAAAAAATCTGCCCCTCATGTCTCCTTTGAATTTTCCCCATCTAACCTTAAATGGATGTCTCCTAGTATTAGACATTTCAACTCTGGGAAAAAGCTTCTCACCGTCAACCCTATTGGTGCATCTCGTAATTTTATAGACTTCATAGAAGTCTCCTCTCAGCCTCCACCGTTCCAAAGAAAACAACCTAAGATTTTCTAGCCTCTCCTTATAGCTCATACCCTCTAATGCAGGCAACATCCTGGTAAACCTCTTCTGCACCCTCATCAAAGCCTTCACATCCTTACTGTAATGTATTGACCAGAACTGAACACAAAATTCTAAGTGTGGCCTATCCAAAGTCTTATAAAGCTGCAACATGACATCCTGACTCTTGTACTCAATTTCCCGACCAATTAAGGCAAGTATGCCATGCGCCTTCTTTATCATGCGCAACAATGGGGGAGAAACAGAGAGTGAGGAACAGGTAGGTAGGACATTCAGAAAAGCTTAATACAATCCAACAGAGTCATCGTGACTTTATGAAAGGGAATTCATATTCTTTGAGGATGTAACAAGCAGAGTTGATAAAGGGGAGCTATTTAATGTTGCACATCTGGATTTCCAGAAGGCATTTGATAAGGTGCCACATGAAAGGCACTTGCACAATAAGGGATCTCATGGTATTGGGGGTTGTGCATTGGTACGGATTGAGGCTTGGTTAACACACAGGAGAGAAAGTCAGGATTAATGTATCTTTTTCAGGTGGGGAGTATGTAACCAGTGCAGTGCCACAAAGCTCAAACCTAGGACCTCAATTATTTACTATGTATATTCTAGGTTTGGAGGACGGGGCAGAGTGTAATGTATCCAAATTTGCTGATCATACAAAAAACAGGTTAGAAGGCGTGCTGTGATGTGGACATAAGGAATCTGTAACAGATATAGACAGGTTGAGTGCGTGGGCAAAGACTTGACAGACAGAGTTAATGTAGAAAAATGGGAGGTCATACGCTTTGGTAGAAAGAATCAAAAGGCAGACTGTTATTTAAATAGAGAATGATTCCAAAATGTGTTGTGCAAAGGAACCTGCATGTTCTTGTGCATGAAATGCAACAAGTTAGCATGCAGGTTCAGCACATAATTAAGAAGGCAAATGGAATTTTGTCTTTTATTGCGAGGGGGTTGAAGTTTTACAAACAGATATGTCCTATTTCAACTGTACAGGGTGTTGGTGAGGCTGCACTTGGAGTACTGTGTACAGTTTGAACCCAATATTTAAAAAAAAGATATAATGACATTGGAGGCCATTCAGAAGAGATTCATGAGGCTGACTCCTGTGATGAAGAAGTTGACGTCTCATTGATGGCTAAACAGGTTATGTCTTTACTCATCAGAGTTTATAAGAATGCGGGGTGGACTGACTGATATATCCAAGATTTTTGAGGAAGTTTGGCAGGGTGGATGTTGAGAAGATGTTTCCGCTCGTGGGAGAATCTTGAACTAGCAAATATAATTACAGAAGAAGGAGATATTCATTTGAAATGTGAAGGAATTTCTTCTTTCAGAGTGTAGTGAATGTCTGGAATTCTCTTCCCCAGAGAGTTGTGGAGGCTAGATCACTGAAAGCATTTAAAGAGGAAGTTGAAGTATTTTTTGAAATATTGAGGAGTTGAGGGCTATGAGAAGTTGACATAAAAGCGGGATTGAGGCCTGGAACAGATCAACCAGCGTCCCAGTCTAGGGATATGGGTAAACCATTTAGGATTGTGATGAGGAGAAATGCTTCCACTCAGAGAGTGGTGAGCCTGGGGAATTCATTCCAACAGAAAGCATTCGAGGCCAAAACATTGTATAATTTTAAGAAGAAGTTTTATGTATAGCACTTGGGGCTAAAGAGACCAAAGGATATGTGGGGGAGAAAGCAGGAACAGGCTATTGAGTTGGATAATCATAATGAATGGTGGAGTAGGATCAAAGGGCCAAATGTCCTACCCCTGCTCCTATTTATAATGCATTAATCTTTGCTCACCGATGCTCAGTTTGTTTTCTATCAGGGCTACTGTGTTGCAGACCTACCAACAGCCTTGGTTGAAACATGGGCAAAAGAGCTGAACTCCAGACATGAGATGAGAGTAGGGGTAGTAGGAACTGCAGATGCTGGAGAATCCGAGACAACAAGGTGCAGGGCTGGATGAACACAGCAGGCCAAGCAGCATC